TTAGAAACCATTTAGCAGATGACTCCAATTCAGCATGCATTCTACTATAAGTAACATCTTACAATCCTAATATGTTATTTGGCACCCATTCTGCAACAACAGAAATCCCACTAATATTATCTTAATTGAATTGTCGTGTATAAGCTGTATATAGTATTTGCTTATATCAGGGATGGTGAACCAGTGGCACGCGTGCCATCAATGGCACGCGACGCAATATTTAGGGCACACCAATGATCAAAATGGCTTGCAATTTATTTCAAAATAACAAAATTCTCTATGAAATTTTACGAACAAAAGCAAGTAATCGGTGGCGGGGAGCACACTCGTTTGTTATTGTTTCTTAATTATTGCCTTAGTTACATCTTGGATCACAGTTGTTTATGATCCAAAATTTGTCTACGCATAGCATAAGTCAATTTCGGTGACCCAACTGTATTTTAAAGTTTATTTGTGTTATATTTACGAATTTTAACTGGTATTTAACAAGGCTAGTTCAGCAAAAGAACAAAAAGTGCAAGATATAGTAAGTCTAACAGAAAACTTCAACTTGGTGAATCTAGAAACATGTGATGCTATTAATAAAGGCGACACAGTGGTGTGTGTTTTACGTTCTGGAACAGAGGTATGCAGAACATCGTCTGTAAAACGGCATTTTGAGACAAAAAAACCCTCTTGTCAAAACAGTGAACCACAGCAAAAATAATTATTTACTTAGAAACCACATTTGGCAGATGACTCCAATTCAGCATGCATTCTACTAAAAGTAACATCTTACAATCCTAACATGTTATTTGGCATCCATTCTGCAACAACAAAAGTCACACTAATATTACCTTAATTTTAATTACACGTATAACTAAAACATTTACTAATATACTGTGCAAAAAATATATTTTTTCGTTGTAAATAAAGAGTTTTGAGTTGTTAGTATTTAGTTTTATTATTTTCCCAGTAATCACAAGTCAAAATTATTTGCGGCGTGTCTATACCTCATTAAACATTTATTTACAAAAACTTACACGTTGATCCATAAAGGTTCGCCATCCCTGGCTTATATTCTCGTAAAAAAAATTTCATTCGATGTTCGAACTTAGTACAGAGCAAATACCATGAAGCGATAGCCCTTGGAAAAGGTCGAAGTTCTGATGAAATTCCTAATTTTTTGTGACAGATTTTTCTGAGAACGAGAGAGAGAGAGAGAACCAGCTCTAATTTAGATTCCGATGAAGACATAAGATTGATTGAAAGTGACTGCGAAGAAATTGAAGAAAGTGCTGATGTAATTGGTGATATTCCAGTAAATCCTGACATATATATATATACACTGGTGTGCAAAACTTAAGCAACAGGTGGGTTTATTGCCATAACTTCACGAAAAATCATCTGAGAGACATAAAATTCTGAAATGAGGGAGAGAATTATGTACGTAAAGGATTACGTACGTAAAGCATCGCCGCTGAAAAAGGAATACAACGCATACGGTATGGAATCAAACAAAAACAAGCTTTATTGAACACATAGTATCGTGACTCATGATTATCTACCCAACAGGAAGAACAAAAAGCAGATGCCCCCTTAATATGGTTTCCCTCCCTTACAAAATGGTTGTTTTGCACCGTCTCCGCATACTCAGAACCAATGAGCAACCCTTGGGTAGGTCCCCATTCCTCAATCAACATCTGTTTGAGTTGTTTTTTTCCCCCGGATGTGGGCGTTTTTAAACCCCCCCAAAGCACCCCACACATTTTTGATGGGATTTAAATTGGGGAGCCCCTTTTGGCCCAATTCTTTCGAGTAAATTTCACCCCCAGCAGCTCCTAAACCAAGAGTGCGATGGGGCGTGTTGTCATCCATAAAGATGAAATGGGGCCAAAAGGCACCTGGGAAAAAGATCAGAGGGGGAAGAAGTACCTCCTCACAATAGGATCCCCGGTTCAACCCTCGTAAAAGGGGAAGCTCAGTTCCCCCGTTCACATAATGCCCCCCAGCCCAAAACCCCAGGATCACCGAAACAATGTCTTTCCTTGATTTTACTGGGATAAAACCAGGCCCCGATCTCTCCAAATCAAAACGCTTGAGAATGCTTCGGGACAAACCACCCCATCCGAAAAGAAACACGCTCCATTGATCTTGTCCAGTTTTTCCTCTGCCCCCTGAAAACGGTGGCTTCGGTCCTTTTTCAACGGGGGGCGGGGGGGCGGGTGAACCCCGGGAAGGCGTCTGGCCACGTAAACCCTACACTTGTCGACCTGTTGCCAGAGTTTCTGAGCAATGGTTTTGCTGACTGCTGTCAAATTTTTTTCGCCTGCAGGATGATATATCGGTCCCCCCGCGTTGTCGTCCCGGCGGCCACCCAACCTTTCAACAGCTGTACCTGTGGTTTGGAACGCTTTCCGCGCGCGAAACGACCTTTTTTTGTTTCCCGAACTCTGCAGCTCCGGTGACGTACGCCCCTCCTTTTCCGATCATTCTTATTAAAGGTCCCAGAGATTTCTTCTAGCCTTTTTTAAAACGCGCACTGGCACTTGCAGAAATATGGTGAATTGCGCCCCTTCCTTTTTTCATTCTACTTTGGGGAGCAGCGCGGCCCGCATCACGCGGGGAGTGCGCTAACTCCTTCTGACGTTTTGTTTTTTGATATTTGCATACGCGCGTTTCTACTGACTTCTTTTCCCCTTACTGATCTCCAGCCCTCCTTTTCGAATTTCATGGCTATCTTAAATTTTACATTGTTGCTTTTTTTGCACCCAGTGTATATAAAGGGGGGTAAACAAAACGGATCCCCTAATCCCAAGCCGGGTTTTTGAAACGAAATGTAAACAACCGAAACATAATGACAACGTCGTTTTTATGTTTAAAAAGGGTCATAATATATGGAATTACTGAAATAATAAAAAAAGTTTTAAAACTAAACCCTTTACTGAACGAAAATGTCAATTTTTTAAAAAACAATTACTTTATATATTTTTTTATATGGGGGGCAATCGGTGTACGTTTAAGGGTAATCGAAATCCCAAACTTTCTAGTGTTAAACCTTTTTCTGTCTTAAAATTACAAATTATTGTAAGTATGTTTAATACACTAAACTATAAATTAATAAATCGTCTCTTTGATATTGTTTAATCAAACTAAGTTATGTAGAAAAGTATAGACATTGTAAAATGTAATAATTCTATGCAACCTTTACTTGCTCTTACAATAAAAAAAGTTTTAAACTTCTAAGGCATTTTCTCCAATTTCAATTTCCTAAATAATGCATGCTGAAAAGCAAAGAATAAAGATTCGATTTCATGAAAAGCAAGAGAAGGAAAATCTCTTTTCCAGGGTTTAAACTAATTTTCTTTAAAATTATTTATTTATTTATTTTTCTACTTAAGATAATTTAGAAGTGAAACAAATTTTACCAGCAACGAGTTACAAAATTATCTAAAACATTTTCAAAAAAATACAATGAGGTTATTTCAGAAAATGAGTTTTCTTTAAAATAAATGATGCCTCAACCCTGGAGTGCGCTTAGAATCATTTTCTTTCGAGTCATATTATTTTCACATTAAAATTAAAATTAGAGATGCTATTTTATGAAGTTCATGGAATTTTTCTTTATGTTATTGTTTTTACAGTTTCTAAATCCTATAAGAAAAGGCAAAAAAGAAAAATACTTTCTTTTTCATAAAAAAGTAGCAATTAAATTATGATCTAAAGAAAAAGAGGGGTGGATAACAGAAAAAAAATGATAGTTTGATGATTCAATTCTGGATTGCCCAATTTATTTTATTGGCTTGTAATAGCAAATGCTTGCTATGTGCAATAAATATATTTAATTTTATTTATGAACATTATAAACTACTTCTCTAGGTTATAAAAGTAACTGAGTAATTTAAAATTGCGTGAATATATTAAATTCTATTTCCATTTCTTAGGCACTCAACAATTGAAAGGAGGATATTTTAATCTATTAAGACTTAATGATAATTCTGAGGAAGTATTGGATTAAAAAAAAAAAGAGTGTTATCAAGACAATTATCAATACTGTCAACTATATATAATGAATTATAAGGAATATGACGATTTTCCGTCTCCAAAGAGGTATCAAAAATTTCTTCAATTTGCAAGTAAAATTACTAATTTTTGGCTCAGTTTTTTCTAATGTCTGACCAATGTTATTGTTACATGTTATTTTTGTGATGTGTACATTTAGAAATGAATGCCACATAAATAGCATATTATTTATTTTATATCATCTTAAAAAATACTCAAGTAGCAAAGTTATGGAATATAAAAAAATAGAATTTGCATTTAATCTGTTGAACATATAATCAATATCTTGCATATAAAATTAACTCAAGATTAAGATGATCATTGTTCAACTCCTCCGTTTTGCTTTGACATATGTAATTCAATTTGTGTTTTATTTATTATCATTATTATTATTATTTTTTATCAAAGGTTTTTGTTTTAAGAAAAATATTGAAGATATGATTCTTGTACTAGTTATGTATCACTTGCTATACGAAATAAAACATCTTAATTTTTAAATAGTTTAAAATTAATAATTAATTTAGTGAAATAAATAACTTATTTTTCTTGTCAATTGATAGCAGTGTTAGAGTGCGATTATGATTTCTAGGTGCATTGTTAAAATAAAACAATATGATTGTTAGATAAAGAGATAAATTTGTTCATATATATGTAAACCTATTTATGAAATATAATTTTTTTTAGTATATTTGTTATACTTTTGCTGAAAATAAAGTGCTTTTCAATTTCTGTTATTAGTTCACACTCTCCTTATATATATTACTCAAATTTTCAATCGTTAATAAAATCCTTTTTATTCTCCCACTCAAGTTCAAATGCATTTTTAATTAAACATAACGGATGACACTTGATGTTAATACAAATTTTTTCAATTATTAATTCATTCATTTGATTTAATTAAGGAATAAATAGTACAAACAAAAATAATAGTCCAACACCATATATTAAATGGAAACTGTGTCCCTGTAGTGGAATGGGTAACGCGTTGGGTTTCTAATCCAAAGGTCATGGGTTCATATCCCACCTGGGATTCATTTCCCTCGGAATGGTTTGGGGCCCAAGGCTTTTTTATTGGAAAAAATTTACTTTTAAATTAATTAATAAATAGTAACAAAAAAAAAAAAAAATATTTGTCCAACACCCTATATAAAAAGGAAAATGGAATATTGCAAGGAAAATGGCTTTTTATTTTTCCACTTAATATTGTGGTTCTGTTATATGTATATACATTTTATATTTAATAAAATATTATTAATAAAATAACTAAATTATTTATAAAATAACTAAAATAAAATCTTTCTTTGTTTGACCTAAGAAGTAATTGACTTAATTTTTTTTATATTTCGTATTTTCAATGTTAAATCATAATGACTAGTTATATGCTTATCTATAAATTTGTTTCCAAAGAATTCAATTACTTCTGGAAAAAATTTTTAAAGCTCCCTTTTAATTTAGGGAAAAATTTTTTTTAGGTGGTTTTTTTTTATCTTCTTCTTAAAATTTTTCCAAACCCGTTTTTTTATTTAAAAGTTTCTTTTTTTTAAACTTTTCCACAAAAAGGGTTGTTTCCAATTTTGGGGCACAATTTATATTGCCACGTGGGGGTTCCTTGATTTTCCCCCCAAAAAACAAAATTTGCATTAGTAAAGTACCTACTAACTTTCAGGACAGATAGAGTATTAGGGCGATGAAAAACACTGAAATGCATGGTAGGAAACTCTTTGCAGACACGGTAATGAGGACACAAAACACAAGAAAGACAGAACATGAATAAGAGGAAAAAACATGTTTTTTTTTTTTTAAAAAACAAAAATTTAAAAAATTTGGGTTGGTGTACCCCAAAAAATAAGCATTGGGTCGATCGCGATCGGCCTTTTTAAACCTCATGGGATTTTGAGATGACCTCCTTTACTAAGACCTACGACGCGCATAATAAAAGAAACATATTTAAAACCCAAAAGGCCTTTTTAAATCGGAAAGGCTAACCCCTTCCCTGGGGGCGAAACCGTAGGGGGGGGGTTTTGGTTTTTAAGAAAAGTTGAAAATAAGAGATTTTTTTTAAAAACCAAATTTTTATTAACAAAAATTTTCCCCAAACGAAATACATTTTTTGCTTTTAAAAAATGGAATTACAAATTTATACATGTAAAAAAACACTTAAAAAAATACATTTTGTGGGGTTCCCTCATACATTTATAACAAATTTTTATAATACTAATTTAAAAAACAATTTTTAAAAACCCCCCAGCGACATCTTGGGCTTTAAAATATAAAAATTAAAAACCCAAAAATTAACACTTATTTTGGGATAATTTGTACGGTTTATAATTTACCCCCAAGGGACGTTTAAAAGTTATGCGATTCCTCCAACGCCATTGTTTTTAACAAGTAGGCGATTGCAGGGGTGTATTGAGGGGGGAAAACTTAAAAAAATCAAACCCCCTTTTAAATAAGTAAATCCCCTTTCCCCAAAAACTGTCAAGGTCCTATTTTCTTCCCAAAACCTTTGGGGAAAAATTTTTGGATGGGAGTACCGAAAAATATCGTACTTCGGAAAGACGTATATATAAAGTCCGGGCAAATTTAATTTTTGGCTGAATGAGACTTTTTTTTCATTTGCTGGGGGATTTTTTGAAGGTTTAAAATTTTATCGCCCGCTTTAACCAAAAGTTTTTTTCTTTGAATTGAATAAATTATATTTTTTATTGGGGGGGAAGAAAATTTGTTGGATATTTGGTTTGGGGATTGGGAAATTTAAATCACTGCGCTATCTAAAAAAAGGGGAATCGGCATTTCACAATTGAAGTTCCTTTGTTTTTCTCATGAAAGTGATCCTATAAATGTTAGCGGGACTTGTACCTTCAATGGAAACGTACAATGACGCTTTATGGGCTTTAATTCCGGAACCGTGATTTTGCTTTCTATAAATGGATAAAATTTACGATTTTGGGGTCCTTGGAAATTTGAAAATGTATAAAAATAGTTTTAACAATAGAGCCAAAAAAAAATTTTTTAAGTTATTTTTACAAAAAAGAACATAGAATGACCCATTTTTTAAAATATTCTCCCTTTTTAAAAGGTTTAGCACAATTTTTTTTTTAAAATTTTGCCCCGGGTCTCTGTACAAAGGGTCAACTAAATTTTTTTAAAAATATTAAATTAAAAAATAGGTTTATCCATGTTTTACGACAACAGAGGGGGTAAATTTTTTAAAAAAAAAGCCGGATAAAATTTTTTCAATGGGTTTTTAACCTTTAAAATAATGTGAATTTTTTAAAAAATGGTTTATTCCTTTTGTACAGAAGTCATCTATCTACAGACAAAATATTATTATAATAAAAACGTTTGTTCATTAAAAAGAACATTTTTTGAAAAAAAAAGGGTTTTTTTTAAGTTAATTTTTTTTTCCCCAAAAAAAATTTTGTTTAAATAATTTTTTTTTTCAAAATGTCCCAAACAGGGTTTTTTAACATGTTTTTTTAATCTAGGTACACTAAATATCCGGGAAAAAAACCCTTTTTTCCCTTTTTAAAAAACAGGTTTGGGTGGCCGGGTACCTAATACGTTCACCGCCACTGTAGGAAAAAAAAACGATTACTGCGATGCCAGTTGTATAAATGATTTTTTCCCACCATTCGACTGTAGGAAAGAATAAGTGCTGATGATCAGTTCTTTCGATAGCACGGGATTGGCTATTGACACATCATCTCACATCCCAAGTTTCTTCAGGTTCGGGTTTTCACGTTAATGTAACCGTGCCAAAATGTGACACCAAAAAAATTAAAATATACGTCGGTTTTCCCTTTTCACGATTCCCATTCTTCCTTGTTTGCTGCATTGAATACGTCCACTCTCCGCGGTCTAACAGTCGCTCACAGTTGCACAAATATTCAACTTTACAATTTGGTGTTACTTGAGATTTTGTACTAAAACAGCAATCTGTTATATTTTAAAAGAGGGGTACAATGTCGAAAAATAGTTTTAAGAAAAGAAAACATAGAATTCTAATACAGAATAGCCAAACCTACTCCTCTGTGTGGACCGCAACACCTTAAAAACATTAGAAGTAGCCCGTACCCTGGAAAAGTCCGTCCACTCCTGGTGTACGCGATCCGAAGCATCAGACGACGATGCTTGCGCACGCTCAGTTTTTGCTGTCGCTCTCGCTATGAAACTTCAATTCGATAAAGTGGTAGTAGGATGGTACGTTACACAATCACTGAGCTCACTGATATGCACCTGGCATATGAAGCCTCTAGTTGCAATGGATGACCCACTCAGTATAGTACACCTAACATTAGCCCAGGATTTAAATTTCCTCCCTCACCTTCATTGTACACTTTCAACAGATATAGTCCGACAGCGGATGCTTCATCTTGGACACTTAGGAACGTAATCGATGAGTAAGAACGCCACACATTGAGGAGATTGTGCTTGATCTGGTAAAGAACAATCTTGGTACAGTGTGTTGGCTATTTCTAGCCATGACGCGATTTCTCATACGACCGTATGACTGATCCTGCATACTAACAAAGTGCACCCCTATCACCCCGACATACTCCACTATTGTCAGTTTAATGTTCTTTTTTCTATTTTTTTTGCTGCTCTTAGGATAATAAAAATGTTTTCTCAACTTATTCTTATTCTATCTTTCTTGTGTTTTGTGTCGTCACTACCGTGCCAGGAAAGCGTTTCCGACCATGCATAGCTGTATGATTTCCCTCGTCTACGTTTACTCTATCTCTCCTGAAAATTTATATCTACTGTACTAATTCACCCTGAATAATCCAAAAAGGTGCAAGGAATGACTTTCTTTATCCTTTTACTACCCTGATCAATACTTTATTAATGAAAATTGGTAGAATTCTCTTTTTGAATTATCCGATAAAAAGCCCCTTTTTCCAAAAAGGAGAATCAGAAAAGTGTTCTACATTATTCAACCACATGCGCTATAGCACATTTGATGTAAAGTTTAAAATCTTTCTTATTCATTAAATTGCATTCATTGATTTTTGGCAATATTGATAACTAATTATTACCTTTGTCTGTGGGATTTTAAAAAGTGATTAAATTATATGTAAAAAGAAAAAGAAATATATAAGCATAAAACACCAAAAAATGCAGAGACATTTAAAAATTACTTTTAAAATGAACTTTTCTTCAAATTTTAATTCTGTTAACATTCTGAGCTTGTAAAGTATGCAAAGGACACCCAGCTGTTAAAAGCAGAATATTAAGTAATTTCTATAATTTTATTGATGTTGTTGTTATTGTTACTAATGCACCTGATCGCGCTAAAGACAAGATCAAAGCCCACGAAGTACATCATGGTAAAGGGCTAAGTGATGCTTGTTGTTAGACGTAGCTTTGAGCACCATACAGGTGACAGAACGATTTAACTTGATTTCATCTCAATTACGAGGAAGAACAACCTGGAGGAGGTCAGGGCCTCCCACTTCTGTTCCCCTTCTCCTACCTCAAGAGAGGACTTGTGGTTCGACGGCTATTTAGAGTGCTCCCATACCGCAAAGGCACCGCACATTTGCAAACATCATGCAACATAATAGCAACTCAAATTTGCATAATTATGGTTTCTCCATGGAAAGTGATTTTGTAATCATACAACAATTAAAAAAGATTTCTCTAAAGGAAGTCAAAGGCACGGATGGGGTCCGTTACAAACTTAAATATATTTATATATTATTTATCTATGTGTGTGTGCGTATTCTGTTAAATACGATATTATATGCACCGCGTTTACTATTTCTTAAAATTTGAACAAAAGTTTTCTTCAATGCCTCATTTTTAAGAAAAATAACAAGCATTTTTGGTGATTCAGGTACACTTTTCTCACAACCTACTTTACCTATAGTCCAGATATTTTGCAGATTTTAAGATCCACAAAAATTTTCAACAAAGTGAATGATATTTTTTTCAAATAAGCATTCACAAATTTTAGATACAGCACAATTTCTGCATAAAATTTAAAAGAAATTTAAATCACTAAATTTAAAAACTTTAAAAATTTTAAT